GTAATAACAATGGTAATGATGATGAAGGTCCTGTATTAAGGTAATCAAAATCATTTCAACTGGAGTTTCTGAAGCATGAACGTGCTTAAAATCCTTCCTATACTTTCTCATTCTGTTCTGTTACTTACAGTTGCATTCACTGTCAAAAATAAAAAAGTGTGGCAAAATTAGAAGCATATATCAAAACCTGCGTACAATCAGAGGAAGGTCAGTGCAGTCTGTAATTTCAACAGGTGTTAGCAGGCTAAGGGAAGTTTGAAGGATCACTCCCAATCCCACCAAGGTCTACATTTCAGTAAGCTAACGAATGTAAGCCTTCACTGTGACTTGTGTTTGTTAGGTTAGCTAACTGGAGGTGAAGAAAGAACATTTTCTGGTGAAGATGGATTCCAAGGGGTCATCTGCCCTTCATTCAGATATTGATTGTACAGCCCATCTACTTTGCTATTCTTCTATGAAAAATATGTAAAATGAAACTAAAATGCTAGGAATCGGAGAAGAGCATCGAGATGCCCCATCCCTGGAAGTGTTCAAGGCCAGGCTGGATGAGGCTTTGAGCAACCTGGTCTAGTGGAAGGTGTCCCTGCCCATGGCAGGGGGGTTGGAACTAGATGGGCTTTAAGGTCCATTCCAACCCAAACCATTTTATGATTCTAAGAGGTAGAACTGGAAAATTCTTCAGCTGGAATGAATGACAAGTACATATGTTGCCTCAGGTTCAGATCAGATAATTTGTTTAACCTCTTGAAGTTTATCTCTTTTTGGAACAATACACACATGGTATAAACTGGGCAGAATGTAGAAAAGCCTAAAACCCGCTACCTTTGAGCTGTGTGCATGCTTCTACACTGCAAAATAAAAATAAATGAGAGAGCTTAGTTTTGAAACAGTCTCTGAGATGTAGGACTCTATGGTAGAAAAAAGAGCTGCTGCTTTAATGCTTGAATATACAAAGGCTGGTGTTTGGGCTTGGGGCTTTTAGAAAGTATGTATAGTAGCAGTAACAAGCAAGAAGTGCAACTTAGTACTCTGAAGGGTTAAAGTGAATTTTAGTCTTCCACCGATCACCCTCTGGTACTGTGTCTTCATAAATTTCCCCCATTTATGGAGTGTTTTTGATGGCAGGCAATTCTTTGTTGAAAGTTAAGTGCTCTTTTATATGAATAAATAAAGAAGGCTTTGGTTAGAATGAATACATTATTTTGACAAATGTTTATTGGAAACCCAATTATGGCTTCATAAATCAGTGCTATCTGTGGTACATCAGGTGAGCTCACCAATGCCATCAAATGGCACGTTGAATATTAGTAGGATAATTAAAACGATTCTGTTGAATGTTGTCCCTCTTAGCCAGGTCTGACAGTAGTCAAAACAGGAAGAAATTGTTTGTTATTTTTATTTAACTTATTAAAATATTTCTTGTAAGATGTAATGGACATACTTATCAAAAAAGAAAAAAAGCACATTTGCTTTCAATTTGCAGTTAGATTAAAATGACAAGGTCATGCATGAACTGAGTGGCAGCTGAACTTTAAGAGTAGTTGGGGAACAGAAAGGGTATGTATGAAGTCTATTGTTTGAACTTTACACCTAGGTGGAGTGGGGCTTTGCTTGTTTTGTCTGAGGTGGTCGCTGATGATATTAAATGTGTCTAGAATCAATTCCTGTGTTTCCTTGTCCTCCACGCTAGAGTGATTCTGAGTTAGGATGGCCAAATTAATTAGAAGCCATTTTCATAACTATGAAGGCAATCAAGTAAAAAACTTGAACTCAAGGTCAAGAAGAAAGGGAGCATGTTGAAGGTGAAAATAAATAAATAAGAGTCTACAGGGGACAAGCTAAGAGGAATTCCTGTCTCTTGAGGCCCTCTGACTGATGGCAGCGGAAGGGAGACCTTTACAGTATCTGTGACTGGATACTGAAAATCTGTTGAAGCTTTATGAAAAGAAATCTGCATGATTTCCCAAAGGATCATTTCCCAGTTTTAGGGTATGGCTAAAATTATATCCACTAGGATTTACAAGCATAAAATAGGGATTGAAACTTAAATAATTGGGTTTGATGTGTATTTGTGTTGGCGTGATATAAATAGCCACCTAGATGCCTTTCTTACCAACTCAGCTTCAGGATAACATCCTTAGTGGCACAGAAGAGGGTGTGAGGAGGCGTAAGGAGAACAGTGGGAGGCAGCACAACATTCAGCTGTTCTCCCACGAAAGAAAATGAATGTTGGGAGAGGGCAATGAAATACTCGTTTGGAATTTGTCAGTTCATTGAAAGGGGGGGAGGGGAAAAACCAAGACAAACTTTTGTTGTTTCATCAGAAACTAACCTTCCTCCAGAGCAACTCAGGCTCCACATTTCTGGCAGCAGGCAGACAACCCAAGGGCTGAGGCTCCCACACTAGGACTTCTCAGAAGCTCGTATTTCCCCAGAGATCTGCCTCTCAGATAATGTACAAAGTCTGAGGTCTTCTTCCAAATAACGGCCAGACAAAACTTTGTAATTTTCTGCAAGATAGAATAACCTCCCTTTTCCACCCTGCCTTACCCTCATCCCTTCTCAGGATTTCAGATGAACAAACAATACAAGTGTGTGAAGCAATACAGGGATAGTCTCCGCTATTTAGGACCCTATTTTTTTCATAGCGGTACAAGAGTACATTAACCCTAAAACCAGGCATGCGTTTTGCTGCCCAGGGCACCATTACCAGGAATAAATACTGCAGATAAAGGAGACAGAACTTAGGGCAATCATGGTGCGTGAAGCAGACGGAGCCTTGAGCTTTTTTGTTGCTGTAGGCAGCTGCTCCAGGGCAAACAAATCTCTTCTGGGGTAGAGAGAAGTAAGGTACAGTTTTATAAGTTCATTTTAGAAAAACTGTTGCTTAAGTCTCATGGATTGTGGCTTTTAATGTCTAAACCCTCAACATAAGGATATAGACCAGTTGGAGCGAGTCCAGAGGAGGCCACAAAGATGCTCAGAGGGCTGGAGCACCTCTGCTATGGGGACAGGCTGAGAGAGTTGGGCTTGTTCAGCCTGGAGAGTGATATGATAAACTTCTGGACCCACATTCTGGTTACCCCTAAGTGGAAATGAGGGAGTTTAGAAGTAAACTCATCGTACTGCATTGCTTTTTTGCGGGTGTCCTCAGAAAGGCAGACCATTCAGTCCACTAGATACTAATTTCCTTGAAGGGGATTAAGCAGATGTAAGTGGCAGGGCCTGGTAAAGTGAACTATGGAAACGGAACAGGAAAGAAACGCATTTAGAAACTTCCCTGAGCTCTGCTAAGGCCGGAAGGCTAACAAGAAGGCGGCAGTCTGCAGCCCATGGACTTGACACAAAAGGAACAAGACAGCTCCTCAGCACCCCCATCATCAAGCAAAGCATCAGCACTTCTCCCAGAGTTTCAGGGATGTTTGCTGTCAATCAGTAATGCCAACAGCTTTGGTCCCTGGCAAAGTTTATCTGTTTTTCTTATCTCTAGTCTCTCTTTTCAAACCCTGCTTCCTCCCTTTGCCTGTGGCTGCTCTCATTTTCATAATTTAAAATGCAGCAGCTCTGAAAGACTTGCCCTTATATTTAATTTCTGAAGAAGATGTGGCTATTAACCTTATTTCCTTTGTTTTTGACTGAGCATTTGAACATGGGACTGAAATGTTGCCTAATTTC